GAGTCTCGTCGTCGTTCCTCTCTCACTCCGACACCATCGCCTCTGTCAGAAGTCCATCTCGTCGTCTTTGTCTCTTACGTCGCATCTTTCCACAGACCAGAATGATGTGATCCATTGTTCTGTAAACAGAAAGAATGGAAGAAAGTGTTCAAACCACCATGAAAGGAACAACTTGAGAAAGAAGAAAAGAGGGGTGAAAAAGATGACGACAGTTACTAAAAAAATAATTAGCCCTAATTGTGGTCTTAAATCACTAGAAATAAACCAAAATAGAATTAATTGGAGTAAACCGGGATTAAATCCGAATTTAATTTCTACTGGTTTACTAAAATCCAGAATAATTAAACAAATCTGTCACTACGTAAAATAACAAGTCGGCCACGTCGTAATGCAACAAGTCTACAGCATTTGTAAATCTGTGATAGATTTTCCTTAAGTCTACCGTAGGAAGAATAGATTTTCTATACAAATCGGTCATAACTCAACAAGTCTGCCTTTCGAAAATAAGTCGATCGCACAAATCTGTGGTTTGATACAAATCTGTTGTGTCATCCGACAGACATATTTAAGAAATCGTTTTTTTAATACAAATCAGACAAAATATAGACAAATCTGTTGTGTCATACGTTAGACATTTTTAACAACTCTGTTGTACGGCAGGGGTAATTCTGACCACGAAAACATTCTAATAATTTGAAAAAAAATATGAATCATTCTAGTAATATCACCATAAATTTGAGTCATTCTAATTTTCTTCCCTATAATCTATCAACTCATAACAGTCCTATATATGCATAAAATATATGATGGTTAATATTAATACTAACAAAAAATAATAATACTAACATCTTTTTGTCTTGATATGTTGCAGAATGACATCAAGAAGTTGCTTGTGGCTTAAATATTCTACTGTTTATAATTTGAGAGATTCGTAGTGTCTCAATAACCGGTTTATTGTTGATATACCAGAAATTCAGATAGACATGTATCCCTTACGTTAATCTTATACAAATGCCATTATACGATCGAAATTTCAAATGTAACATTTATGTACATTTCGGAGACATCCGATTATTATGCAATTTACACACACTTACACACATGATCACACACATAATCTTTGAACATAACCAAATTCAAAGAGCCGGTTTATATAATTAGTAGATCAACCTTAGCGTCGAGAAGAAGAGTCCTTACGTGACCGTGGCTGAAACCTATGGCGTAGATAAATAGGTGGAGATACCTGTGAGGATCGTCGAGATACTCGAGGAGGAGGATCTCGTCTCGGTCTAGCCTTAGGAAGAGCTGGCTGTGGCCGTTGACATTCTTCTTCTTGTAATTTTTCTTCATGAGGTTCGGTCCTCGTTAACCTCTCTCTGATTTTGTTAAACGTCCTGAACCTATACAACGACAAGTATGAAAAGTAGTCATCATGATACCATAACCAGCATAACCCACCAACTGGTGCTACTGGTAGGTCTTGTTGGGTGGATTGAATTGCTACGTTATCGACCGTTGTGATGTCTCTGTTTCCGGTTAAGGGAAATTCTAGCGTCTCGTCTTGCCCTAACCGTACAAGTCTCTCCCTCGAATCCTCCATATTTTTTTCTGTTTTTTTTTTCCTTACAAAAAGTTTTTCTTCTTAGAATGTTATACTGCACATTTGCCTTTATTTTGTAAAGACTTGTACACTACAATTAATTATGATTTTACGATAATGGTTAACTAATCAGAGGAAACTTTCTTTGATTTAAAGTTTAAAGAGGTAATTAAATATGTAATTTACATGTTTTGACTTCTTTGTTTAATTTTATTATCCTCCACTTGATTGATAAATAGTATGATCATGTATTGCTTAAAGAAAATATAGTTTTTGATTATTTTGAAACGGCTGACTAGTACTGTATAAATTAATTTATCTTTCTCAAAACTAATTTTTGTTTGATATTAAAAGGAGGAAGTACTTCTATGTTACACTAAAAATTTTAGAGAAAAGTTTTAGGAATAACAAAAGATGATTTGTTTTGTATATAAAATGATCAAGAAGAGCCAATTGCTAGGATTTGTATCCTTTTGACATTTTTTAACTTTCTAGGTAAGACTTCAATTTGCTGAAATGACTTATACCATAAAACTTGGACAATTTCAACATGTAACCAACTATATTATAATGTATCACGATAGTGGACTTGCACAACAACAATCCTATCCAGATCCTACTCACCTTACAATAACCTAACAGTGTTTAATATTCCAACTGTGAACTAGAACAATCATTATATGTCACACCTACGGAAATGATCATTTGATAGAGCAAATCACAAAATCCCTAAAATCAGCATCCCAAAATATTACAAATAGCTTACCTCAAACACATGCATTCTGATCTCTTTGCATTGCTATGAACAATTTGAATCGGCAGCGACCAAGATTTCAACATAGACAGTCAGAAATCTGAAATAGAAGGAACAAAATTATACACCAAAAGGTCAATCAATATCAAGAAGACAGAGGATTTGCTGCACCATATTACAATATGGATACTACATGTCTAGTAAATGAAGCAAATCAATGTAACATCCTGCATGTTCACACATGGGCACCGTTGTGATACCAACCTTAAAAAAGATATGTTTGTGGCTCTTGACTCTCTTCCTACTTTAGTTACGCAAGTGGGCACCGTGTGATTCTAGTTTCTCAGATGAATACAAAACATGAGTACTCTGTATACCATGTTCCATCAGACCCAATTTAGGAAAAATGAGATATTCAAATATATTGATCGTTCTTAAAAACATTCCACTGAGGAATAAAACACATCTCATACGCCCCAAGTAAGAACTATCTTTCTGTTTCCAACCACAGGCATTACAAACCTAGGTTTGTGTGAATAAAATAGTCTATTAACTAGTCTCTAATAACAATGAAAACGTGGGAACAAGTGAGAAAAAGGAGAAAGCAAGACCTGCTGCATGACAAGATACACCTAGCACCACAAGAGAGAACGAATAGAAGATATTTGACCCAATTTGAAGAATATTAATAACCTCATACCTTGGAAACATATTCCAAAACTAAATTTCATTTCCGCAATATATATGATATTATATAACTAAAAATAAAAACTTGGGATAGTGTTTTAACAGAAAGAAATGCTCATTCATTTAAACGAGGGAAATTCACATTTTAATCTTCTTCAAAATTTAGCATTCATAAAGCAATTTAACTACTGTAGATTTCATAACCACTATATTGACCATATCTAAAAATCGCTTCTGAAACACATACACTACTCTTTTTTTTTCTTTTTACAAAGAACCCATATACACTAACTTAAAATTGGGGGAAATACACAAATTGAAGTAGTCAATGTGGTCGTTTTGACAATTGAATGCAAAGAACGTGTTCTTTAAAAAAGAAAAAAAACCCAAAGAACATGTTCTTAGATCAAGAACCAAACCCCCGAGAATATTCTCGCAAGATTCACAACGTGATCACATGGAACCAATGATGTAATTAGATACTATCCACATCACACATCAAACTATAAACATCAGAATAATTTTGAAACACCTCAATCGAAATGTACAAGCATACGATATAAATAATCTAGAAAACCAACAACTGAAGATCATGAACAGTACTCTTGCAAGATCCATGATAGAACATAGATGTCATCATATGACAAAATGATAGATCTACACATATTTATGAATCAAGAGACTAAACCACATATCTTGACGGCTAGTGAGAAACGAAAAAAAAAAAGATCGGATATAAACCACATGATTAATAATCTAAATTTGAATTGAAGGATTCAAAAGAGTTGGGACCAACCTAAGAAAAAACTAGGTTAACGTTAATGGTCCCATATTAATCTTGCTTAACCAAGCCATAAACATCTAGATTAGAGCTTTTTCGAAACTAATGATCTCATAAAATATAAAGTTTAACAAAGGAGAAAAAGGCAAACTGTTATGCAATTAGAAACCAAATCTTTACATAATATAGAACTAGCAAGATATTATATAATAGATCGTATTTAATTACCTTGAAGGGATGAAGAACATAAGAGGGAGAATGGGAACACAATTAAAGTAGAAAACGTGAACAGACCGAAAAGAATCGGTGCTGGAATCTGACAGATAGAGCAGTGAGCACGCAAGAGAAGCAAATGCATCGAACATGCAAAATGCCTTTGTGTGCTCACTCTCTTCTGTCAGTTTTTCTTATCGTTTCTTTAAAATTTGTCCCAAAACTCATTCAATGTCTTACCAAACACAAGACTCTAAGATTAGAGCTCAGAAGAGATATGTATCTGAAAGAGAAGCTGTAGAGTTAGATCTGAGAGGCTTTAGGGTAAGGAAAGAACCAGAGGCTCTATATTTATAATCAAAGGAAAAGAGGAAAGGTATATTCATTTTTAGAAAAAAAAATCTAGGGTTTGACCAAATCAAGAGTGGGGAAACGAAATTACCAAAAAAGAAAGAATAAAAGGAGAGATATTCGGGGAGAGGATTTTTAGATGTAGAAGAGAGGAAGAGATTGATAAAGAAGAAAACAAAAAACCTTATCTCTCTCTGTCGTTCACGCTCTTCAAGAGTCTTATCTCTGTTTTTTTAGTTTTGTCTCTTTTCTCTCTCTCCCTCTTACATGCAATGGGACACATGGTCTAGAGAGAGAGAAAGTTTGAGTGGAGTGGAATTGGATTCAACAGTACATTGCAGTTTATAGTGGTCAATCTCATAGCCTATAAACGGCAACGACAAACCTACTAAAGATATTGAATTTTGTGAATGAATTTTGGTCTTTCACGATGGAATCAGCTCTTCTTTTGTTGTATTAAAATATAAGTCATTCCGCGTTTTATCTTTTTAAGTTTTCAATTATTAACAGCCAATGAACAGCTAAAACAAAGCGAAAATAAAATAAAGCAACTCAATGCAGAAATCTCATTCGTTTTTCTTGAATGCAAAATTTAAAACGGAAAAACAAATTAAATGAGAATTTAGAAAGGTAAAGGTATGCAAAAGATCTAAGATTACTAACCCTATATAATTTTTCCCACTATTCAATTTTTTGGCAGATGAAATAAATAACAAAGTTACCCGTTTTCAAACACAATTTTCTTCAGTTACAAAAAATAAACTTATTTTATAGTGTATCAATTGCCGACGTTACTTACATTGTTTATTTTTGTCCTAAAGAGATTTTAACTAAAATGCAAGAAAAGTTTTTTTTTTTTTTGAGGGATGATGTTTTTTCTTTAGTAAAATATTTATATTATTGACCTACCCAAAAACGGGAATTAAAACATTCATTATAAACGTGATTTGAACAAAATGGTCTAATGATAAACGTTTCATCGCTAGCTTCCGGAAAGAAACAAAGTGAAATGACCTAACCATGTGTCTAATCATGTTTAAGACACAATAACAATTATGCAAGTGGCTAATTACGTTGTTTCATACCACTAAACCAGAAATGTAGTCTGATTATTTTAACTACAGAAACGCATCATACTCATAGTTTTATATTTTCTATATAGGAAGTGTTTTTTTTTTTTTGAAAAAAATTCTATATGGGAAGTGTTTCCGAGCTTTATCCTCATAACCAGCAAGTATAATAAATAGTCATGTTTGACAATAAAAAAATAAATAGTCATGATAAAGAATATAAACTTATAGTTATTCTGGATAACAAGCAAGTACACAAGTTAAAATACTAACACCAGATTAATCTCAAGATGTACCAATTGTAAGGTATAAATACATAAAAGGTTAAGCTATGTAAACCTATTAAGCGATATTGTGATACTTTGCCTTCATTGTTGTGGGTTTTTTGTTGAATCAAAGAACTTATTCTGCTCGACACGTGTTTATGTAATAATGCCAAACAATCCAATTATTTCGTTCGTTTAAGTTCTCTTCTGAGATATACCAAAATCGTTTTTCATTGATGCTAAATGCTGATAACTGAGAATAAATGCAAAGATGGAATGTGCCAAATTTTATTTAAAGTAGTAATAAATATATCAGCCACCCATAGAGGAAAGTTCAAAGATAGATCCCCAAAAACATACACTCGCACAAAAGATTTTGTTCCAAGAAAATCCGTTTGGTGATTTTGTAAAACCATTATCATAGACTGTCATGTGTAATCTCTAGTCAGGGTCTTGGTTTAGCCGTTTTGGTAAATATTGCTAATATTTCTTATTTGATCAGTCATGAATATATTTCATGTATAGGATTTGATAAAATACACAGTTGATTAGAAAAACTTATTAACATCAGAAATATTCACCACTTATCTTGTTAAATTCTGTATATGTAATTCTAATAAATCTATTTCTCATATAGGTCCAGTACTTGTTTCAAAATGATGAAACAAATACTTTTACCGGAGGAATTTATGTGACTTAGCAAGTTTCGTTCCCCATATTAAATTGTCAAGGGAAAAAACATACTGTATTAAAATACGCGTGACAGGTGAAAAAAGGAAAAGGGTAAAAACTTTGAGTTTGACCTAAGAATATATTCAAAGCCTGTCTAGGTTCATTTCTTCTCGATGACATGACTAATAAATACTAGTATATGATAAGATATTGTTGTCTGAATGACCCTGACTTCTCTTCACAAAAATGAATCAACGACAAGTATTTATTAGTTTTTATCAAAAGGCTAAGACACAATTATGAAGATATGTTTTATTTCCAAATTCTATATATATCCGTGTATTTATTTAATACTAGTTTTTATCAAAAAGCTAAGACACAATTCGGATATATATTTTTTTTCAAACTTTTGGAAGTTGATGGATATTTTTGTTTACATTTTTTTTTACCATGGGTGACATACGATCTACGTACTGAATGACGTATTAGCCACGTGAAGATGCAATATCTTCTACTAATTTTTCATATTTTGAGATATCTTTTACTAATTGAAGATTGCAAGTCCCGCGTGCTCATATCTTACAGTGCTGATTTAACCTCGTGGTGGCTTCCTCATGTTCGTCATAATATGAACATTGTTCTCCGGCTATCTGTTAGCTAGCTATTGCCTATTGGTCTTGTCGTGCCACACTAAGATTATGTATAAATACCTTTTTAATAATATGGGATCATGGACCACATGTATGATGTAACCCCCATTTACCAATGATCTTTCATAAATTAAGAATATGTTTTTATTTTTTCGTTTATGAATGTCTTGATCATGTAATTAACTTTGTTTCTTTTTCTTTTCCTGAATAATAATAATAGTGTATTTAACTAGCAATTCTTGTGTACAAAACTTATCAAAGACCTCAGATCTAGGGAGCAGTAGATCCTTGTTGCAAGGCAAGGCTGTTTATAGAATTAAAGTTTTAAACCCTTTGATCATTGTGTGACTATATAATAAAACATGTAAATGGAATATCCCTTATGTATGGGGAGCAAACATTGGATTTAGGAATCTCCAGGCATCTCGCAAACAATTATTATGCGATAATAATTTGATCAAGTCTTTAGTCAACTTAGAAAACAAATCATTTTAAAACTGAACAAAATATATATTCGTGGAATTCGTCTGAGGCCTCTACAACTCCACAATTTCAGGAAGACTAGTTGTTTAGGAGACAAATTGGCAAATCGTTTTTTCAGGAGGGTCAACTACCCATGCTGCTTCATAATTTGTTGTTTAATTTTATAATCTATTTTATTTTAATTGTCGTTCTATTTTTAACTGTGCATATATTGTTAATTTCCGATTTATCTGTATTTTAATAATTATCAAATACAAATAAAGTGATATATTAATTGATGGGAAAATAGAACATTAAATTTTTTCGATGTGTAAAAAACCTTAACGATATACAATAATAACAACAAAAATGATCATTTTGCTCAGCATTTCGTGTCGTATAATTTTTTCGTTATTGATTACATTCACGATAGATGACTTTGGTTTTGCTTAGTGGTTTAAGTTCACGAACAAAAACTTAAAATGTAACTGACGCAAACTAAAATATAAAATTTGGTTCTAAACAATGATTATGAATAGAGTAAATACATAGCTCAGCACCTAAATAAAATCCAAATATGTCACTGACGTTTTAGGTAAACTTACTGCTAATAGTCAAGAAAATGCACCTACCCAAATATTCTCTAACCAATACTCAATGGAGAGATGACAAGGAAAACATGGTCAAAGAATAAACATCACAATAATTAACCAAAGCCACTCACTACTACACTTCTTGTCTTAAAAAACAAGACTACACTTCTAATTCCCAGAACATCAAGTCCCACCAATACCACTATGCTTTCCATCTTAAAATTACAAAACCACAATTCTAAGTATAAAAGATGGAAAGTCATTCCTGAGGCCATCATTACTCATCGCTTCCTCTTATTACCAGACTTCGCCTGCGACTTGCCTGAACCCACTGGTTTCCCTTTTGTTGCTGGTTCTGGTGCCTTTGGTGTCTCTTCAGACTCTGTCTCCGCATCACTCTCATCGTCCTTCAAGGAAGGTGTAGAGTTTGCTCTGCCTTTTGCTGCCTTTCCCTTGGGTAATGAAGATTTTGCAGGTCCTCGTGACTTGGATTTTGGAGTAGTTGTAGTAGTCTTAGAGGAACCTTTGGATGTGCCAGATTTCGATATCTTCTTCACCTTGCTGGTTCCTGATTTACCAACGGTTTTGAGGGTTTCCTCTTCAGAGCTATCCTCTTCTTCTTCTCTGCTAGCCTCTTTTGGAGGCTTTGGTTTGCTCTCTGTTTTGTCATCCTTGGACTTCTTGCCGGACTTGGAAGCAGGAGCAGCTTTAGACTTGTTACCACCCCTAAAATCATAAATAATATTTTCTTATCAGTTACAGAACTTTTTAGAGACATCAACACGTATTTTGAACTATTTTGCTTTCAGTTTCATTTACTTTTTCGCTGACGGTTCCATCTTTGATTGCTTGCTAGTCTTAGCTTTCTTTCTCTGGGGCCTGCATGGAGAATTACCAAGCTTAGTCATTACAAGAATACCAAACTTATCTCAAAACATCATATCGATCAGTAGAACTAGAGAAGTAACACTTACTCTGTGGAGGCTTCTTTCTCATGACCCGTCTGATCATCAGCTTCTTCACCCTGTTCACAGAAAATGTAAGTTTACAGCAAAGGCGGAGAATGAAAAAAGAAGTCAGATGTGAATGAAATATAATGCCCCCACCTCTGTTTCTGATTCATCCAGAAAATGCCACGTCTGTTTCTTAAGATTCAAGATTTCTTGATCTCCATCATCATAGATAACCTGAACAACGAAGATAGCAACAACATACAACAAATAAAACATACCATAAATGCACTGAATCTAATAAAAATATTTACAATCAATAGGCTAATGGTTCACCACGATCAAAAGAGATTTGTTGAGTTTGATAAAATTTGGGCTCTTACCAGATGTTTCTTCTTAGCAGAATCATATGAATTAACCACACCCTTATAATACCTGCGACAAAAATCCAATATTCATTTACAAGTATGGACAACTACCCAAGGTATTATTGCAGATTCAGCTATCTACAGGAAAATACATAAGAGTAGCGGATTGCGTTAAGTAAATCAAATATAGTTCCTAACAAGAAAATACAAAGTGCTTACTCTTTATCTATAGGCCACCAGACTCTGACCCTCGACCCAACTAACTCTTCACCATGGCTTTGGAGATCAGATGCCTGCCAGGGAATCATTTAGTATGAAGAAGTCTACCAAAAAGAAAAAGAAAAACTCCCACAGAGCACATGAAACCAGTACGAGTAAAGGATTAAACAAGAGATACATAAAAGCTCCACAGAAAGAACAAACAGATGTTTAAGAGAGAAATATCTCAAACTTGAAGAGAATAAGAAGCTGCAATCATGCATATGCACAGTTACTAAATTTTTCCACACGTTCATTTATGTGTAATAATTATGCTAGGTGAAGTTACGAAAACATACTTTCTCTTTGCCTGGGCTTCGTTTTCTCTTTGTGTTTGTATCAGGAATTTCTTCTATTGGTCGCTTCACTTCTTTCTTTGACTTCGAGGCTGACTTTGGAGAGGAAACAGCTGGCTGAAACACAATTAAAGGATATCAGTAAAAAAGACAGCGAAGGCAGCTACGTATCGAATCATACAGGTCAGGGAAGAACTTACTTTTTCGCTATCACCTGAAGAAGTATCTAATGAGTCCTCATCCATGGCTTCCCCACGTCCTAGCTCTTTCTTTTCTTCTTTTGGCTTTGAGGATTCTTGCACATTATTACTTTCAACTACCTTTTTCTCTGACTGCTTTGCAGCTTTTGTCTCAGAGGTGCATTTCTTCGGAGGAAGAGTAGACTTGGTTTTAGTTGAAGAAGCAATCTTCTTTCCAGACTTTTTTGTAACTTTAGCTTCAGAAGTGTTTGGTTCTTCGGAAGCTTCTTCAGTAGCACTAGCAGCTGATGGTTTGGCCTCCTTCGTCAAGCTCTTCTTTTTCTTCTGGTTTGCAGACTTCTTAGGTCGGCTTTCCTCAACAAGATCTTCAGCCTTAGATGGAGAACTAACATTGGCAGTTTCATTAGCTGGTGTCTTAGATGGCAAAGCCTGCACACTTGTTTCCTTATCATTTTCAGTCTTCTTAGGCTGGCTTTCCTCAACAGAATCTTCAGCCCTAGATGGATAACTAACATTAGCAGTTTCATCAGCTGATGTCTTAGATGCCAAAGCCTGCACACTTGTTTCCTTATCATTTTCATCCTTCTTAGGCTGGCTTTCCTCAACAAGAGCTTCAGCCATAGATGGAGAACTAACATTGGCAGTTTCATCAGCTGATGTCTTAGATGGCAAAGCCTGCACACTTGTTTCCTTATCATTTTCAGTCTTCTTAGGCCGGCTTTCCTCAACAGGATCTTCGGCCCTAGATGGAGAACTAACATTGGCAGTTTCATCAACTGATGTCTTAGATGGCAAAGCCTGCACACTTGTTTCCTTATCATTTTCAGTCTTCTTAGGCCGGCTTTCCTCAGCAAGATCTTTAGCTCTAAATGGAGAACTAACATTGGCCGTTTCATCAGCTGATGCCTTAGATGGCAAAGCCTGCACACTTGTTTCCTTATCATTTTCAGTCTTCTTAGGCCGGCTTTCCTCAACAAGATCTTCAGCCCTAGACGGAGAACTAACATTGACAGTTTCTTCAGCTGGTGTCTTAGATGGCAGAGCCTGCATACTTGTTTCCTTATCATTTTCAGAAGAAATGGCTGCTTTAACAGATGAATCATCAGGAGGCAAACTTAACACATCCTTGCTATCTGAAATCTTTGATGAATCCACCTGTGTGGCAGAACTAGGTTCCTTTTCCTGAGGTTGATGTTCAACATCAGGCATCTCTTCAGAAGTATTATCCAAGTCCATGTTGCTAGGATTATCAAGATATTGAGGCTCATCTGTAGCATTCGTGTCATCCTGCTTCTTTGCAGACTCAGTATCAACACAAGAATCATTCTGCTGCGCAACGCCGTTGCTGACTCCTGACTTACCAGATTCATCCTTAGGTTCATCACTTCGCTCGGGTGTAGCAATTACTTCCTGTTTATCCTGCTGATTGGAAAACAGAAACCAATTAAAAATCTACTTGAGGAAACTTATTTCTCAATGCTGATTTAAGGGAAGAGATATATGACTCTACTTCTGCTTCCTTTTCTAAATGACCTTCACTATCCTGCAGGGTAAAATATAAAGAGAAAACGGTATAAGAGCATGTAATGTAACTGGACGGCCAAAAGATGAAAAAACGGGTGAGAAAAAAACTGGCTGGGCAAATCAACAGATGAGAAGGCTTACTTCTTTTTCATTCTCAACAAGTGGGTCGTCCTGCAAAGCACTAAATGTCCCTTCACATATCGAAGCCACTATCTTACTATACTTATCTAAAGAGACACCAGACAGTTTCACTGCTTCAGTCAGATACTTTTTGAGCTTGCCAGCAGAGTTACTGAGAACTCGTTCTGCCAACCTCCGTGCTACTTCGGGAACCTGAGAAACAAGTCCAAAATAGTTAGCAAAAAGAGCGCCGGTTGCTGAAATACAACTAGCGAAACCATCAATGTATCACCTCATCATCCTCTCTAACATAATGTAGAATGGGTGAAAGCATCTTTGGAGGTATCTCCTCGCTTTCCTCCAAAACAAGTGTCATAATTTTCTCCATAGATGAAATTACGTTCTCTGGATGAAAGTCCCTGAAAAGTAAAAAATGAATTAATCGTCACACAAACATGATATCGAGTGAAAAACTTGAATATGCGCGGAGGATAGTAAAAGTAATCAGAATGATAACAGTCACCAAATAGATTATATGATGTTCTGAGTGTTAACAAACAAAATGTACATATATTTCCTGTTGCTAAGCTCAAATAAAATATTACTGGATTTATTATGATTTTTAGTACCTTATAGCCTTGAGGAAACTCTGAAACATCTCAACAATAAGTGAATCACACTCAAGATCCAGCATCACAACACATGACCTCACCTTAGCCACAGTTTCAAGAATCGAGATCCTTTTGGAATAAGACCGACTATAATAATCAGGCAAATACTCAAACGAAGATACAATCAACTTAAATACTTCCTACACATAAACAAACAAAAAAGAGTCAGCAACCAATCACAATAAATAATCACCAAAATCAATAAAACAACATAATTACCTTCATCTGATCATCATCATAAGGAGCTTCAGGAGCAGTTATTCTCGTGATCTCACTGATACAAACCGCGACCGCGACTCTCACATCGGCGTCTGAGTGGTTGAAGAGCTTCCCAGCGACTAAGGCCTTCATTAACGGAGAGAGTGCGGTTTGCATTGACTCGTGTGGTGACTGGTCAACATCTATGAGGTAGATGAAAAGTTTCTGCATCCAAATACAAAGAGGCAAAATCAATCTCATGAAATTCGAACCTCACTAACGGCCACGCACAATCGAATCTGTAAACAGATGCGTTGCCGTTAACTAATAACAACCGCGTAACTGAATAACGGCCACGCACAATCGAATCTGTAAACAGATGCGTTGCCGTTAACTAAATAACAACCGCGTAACTGAATAACTGCTCGCACAATCGAATCTGTAAACAGATGCGTTGCCGTTAACTAATAACAACCGCGTAACTGAATAACGGCTTTCATCGTTTGTAGATTACAATTTCGAAATCTAGTCGTTACAGAGAAATAGCAAAACCTTAGAAAATCTATGATCTATAATTTATAATAGAGAAATCTACGGTTAGCATTTGCATGAAGCTGGGGGAGAAAAAGAGCGAAGAGATGATAGTGAAGGAAGCTGCTCACGTCGAGGAGAGAAAGAAGCTCATCGAGTGAAGAAGGCGGATGAGTAAGATTTTCGCCTGCTTCGAGAATCTGATTCTCGAGCTCTTTATCAGAAACAGACATCGCTCTCTGAAAATTAGATCTCTAGAAACCCTAGATTTCGATTTCTCAGTGCGAAGAGTATCTAACGGCCTTCTTCGATTCCAGAAACGACGAGAAAATCCCCTACACAGTGTCACTGAACAATACGCTTAGGGTTTTCTTCACTCTTTTTTTTTTTTGTCTCAATCTTAACAGTTTTACCGAAAAAAAAAAAAAAATCTTCTGCGACGCGATGATACTTCAGCGCCGTTAAAAAGATATAATAATTAATCTTTTAAAGTATTTATTGTTGTGACTGGTCGTCTTGTTTTGGGCTTCTTTAAAATGGAATCCAACATTCAATCAAGGGATTGATCCACTATGCGATTTTGAAAATCGACTTCATGCATGTGGTTTCATTATTCTAAAGAGTTGTGACAGTTATAATTTTATTGGTGAAAATCATAATTAATTATGTGAAAAATTACTAGATATATTTTTTTTTTATGAAAAGATATCATTTAAATTGTTCAAAGGTGACAAATAAAAGAATAGTCATTAATTTATAAATTATTTGATAAACAATTATGGTTTATGAAAGAATTAAAATGATTAATTAATAACTAATTGTTCCATATAGTTTTAAGAATCCATGTAGTTAAATAATATTAATAAAATATCAATATTAATATATAATTATTGGGGAATCCAACATATGTGTCTTTATATCTCTAAGAATTGAATTAGTTTAATAGAAATTATTAAAATATTTAAAGATAATTTTCCTAATGATATGTCTTTTCATTCTAAAATGCAATCATTTATAAGAAATTGTAAAAATAGGTAAAGAGTGTTTTTTCATTATAAAAATTACATAAATTTTGAAGAGGTTGTCAAAGTGTCTAAGGTGTATTTTTTCATTTTTAAATTTTCTTTTTGAATAATCAGGAGGTGATCCAGCGACCGTGACCAATTGACTAATCCCCATGAATCTAGAACCGCTAAGGGGCCTAAGTCACTCTGTAACGGGCCTAAGTCACTCCGTAACCAGTGCATATCGAACCCAAGTCTGTATTGGGGATTTTTGCTCTCTCAAGACCACTAAAGCAACTTGTGATGGTTAAATTTATTTCTTATAAACATGTTGAAGTGGAGATTCGAACATGGGTTGACTCAGTGACTATTTGACGCTCAACTAGTGTGACAAACCAATTCATTTTTTCATTTCATTCTTAAATTTGTAAATATTTTAATGAATTGTTTTTTAGTTATTTTGCATATTTAATTTATATGCATTTTTAAAAGTCTTAAAAATCATCTTAAAATATTAAGATAACTATGTGATAACCCGCGTAGATGCGCGGGTTGAAATTTATATATTAATAATCATTGAATAGTAATTTTGATTGTTCAACCATCATATCATAACTTTGACCGTTAATAAAAGATTGATGAGTAGGGTAATATTTGTTGATATTTTTTAAAAAACTTATTTACATTGGGCTTTCATAGTATCATTCCGATGTTAAAATTCACCATCTCACTTTAATATGAAAATTGTATTTTTGAAATCTATATTATAATAGTACACTTTATAGACTCCACAATGCGCCACGTCAGCTGTTTTGTGGGTTCCATAAGTATATTTTAAAAACTTATATTATTGGTAAGATGATTACAAACAATGAAATATACTTTAGCCAAGTGGTATAAGGTGTTTAATTAAGCATGCAAGATCGTGGGTTCAAACCACGCAGCCATCATTTATTTTTCATTTTTAATTTGGGTTATTATCATATGGGCTTTTTGTTTGTAGGTTTTTATGTTTTTTTATGACTTATTGTTTTAAAGATCAAAATAGTTGGATAAACCCTAAAGCTTAACGAGTTCAAACTAAAAATAGTTAAAAATGGATGCAAAAACGAACAATAAAAAAACAAAAAAAGCAAGTCTCACGCGGTTGCCTACGCGGATGGCTTAAAGAGCCTTAAAACTATCCTATTATAATATAGTTCAATCCAAAAATAATAAAAAATGAATCCAAAAACGAACCGACCAAAAAAAAAAAAGTGAATCTCACGCGGCTACCTACGTGGATAGCTTAATGAGGCTTGAATAATATAGATTAAGAGCTCAAAAAGTGAAATCATTGCACATATTCCCACAGTCGATGACGCCGTAAATAAAAATGCCACATCATTTATGAACAAAACTCAAACTTACAAAAAAAACATATATAAAAACATATCTAATGAAACTTAAACAACGAATGTTAACTTAATTAAGGTTATTTTCAAATTGATAAATCTTTTAATACAAATATAAATACTTTAAATATAGAATTATATCAAGTTTTGACCTACGATATAAAAACTATTTACAGCAAAAAAAAAATACCTACTTTTACACACTAAAAACTATATTATAGCCTAACTATTCCTATAAACTTACTTCGCATATAAATAACATTTAACTCATTCCTAATATATTTTCAAAAAATTTGTATGTGAAATAAAATAAAATAAACAACAACATTTAAGTATTTTTCGTTATTTATTAAATGAATATGTAATTTCTCTTACATTTTAATAACTACTATAATTTCATTGAAAACATTCCTCACCACCGACTCTAGACTTCGGCGAATGGATTCCTCGATGACGCCGTAGATAAAAATGCCACATCATTTATGAACAAAACTCAAACTTACAAAAAACCATATATAAAAATCTATCTAATGAAACTTAAACAACAGATATTAACTTAATTAAGGTTATTTTTAAATTGATAAATCGTTTAATACAAATATAAATACTATAAATATAGAATTATATCAAGTTTTGACATACGATATAAAAACTATTTACAGCAAAAAAAAATATAGACACCTACTTTTATACACTAAAAACTATATTATAACCTAACTGTTCCTATAAATCTTACTTCGCATATAAATAACATTTAACACATTAGATATACAATATTTTCACTGTACACTCTTACTACATTCTTTCCATTTCATTAATATTTGGTGTCATTAGAAGAATACACTAAACCACTAAATCGAAAAAAATATACGCAAACATAATGATTCCGGCTCCGCGCTTGCGCGGAGAGTATGCAACTAGTAATAAATAACTTTTGAGAGTTGTGCTTGCACGAAATGAACATTAATTATGTATACAAACAATTTAGACATATTATTATTTATTTTATGTTCATTTATGTATTATGTAGTAAAAGTATAGGCCTGGGCATAAAATCCGAAACCCGAAATCCGAACCGAACCCGAACCGAAAAACCTGACCCGTTATCCGACCCGAAATGTAAAAATACCCGAACGGATCTTATAGGATGGTATAAAAAAATCCGAACCCGAAGTGTTATTTAACCTAACCCGAACGGATAACCTGAAATATCCGAAATTAATAGTTAATATAAATATTTTAAATATATATATAATATAAATATTTTAGATATTCAGTTTAATGTTTATTTTGATATGATACATACAATAAATATTAAAATATAAATAAATACCTTAAATATATAATTAGTTATAAATAAATACTTTGTAATTTGTTCATTATAATAATAAATTTAGTTTATATGTAAGGTAATGCACATTGTTTACAAGTGATGTATGTTTTAATGACTGATTTAGCATTTTTTTATTTTATCAATTTTATGTATGTATGATTAATTTATATTCAGTTTCAGTGTTTTTCTTTATGTTTTTGTTTCGAAATTTTGTTTTATACTTCGGGTATATTCGAACTGAACCGAAATAACCTGAATCCGAACGATATATGGTTACTTTACGGGTTTTATGCTGCAATACAAATTTGAACCGAACCCGAAGTGTTATTATCCGAACCCGACCCGTACTAGTAAAATATTAGAATGGGACCTATGAGCGTAAACCCGAAAACCCGAAAATCCGAAAAACCCGATCAGAACGCCAACGGGTACCCGAACGCCCAGGCCTAAAAAGTATATTGAATAATTGATAAGCGAGTAACTATTACGTATATAGTTAAACTCGAGTAAACATATAAATAAAAACTATCTCTCTTTATATTTACAGTTTTGTTGGTAAAAATAAAAAATTAATTATTTATTTTATATGGCTTATAATTAAACTTCAATGATATTAACAAAATTATATAATATAGTTTAATAAGATAGTTTTTAATTGAATTTCGTACTCAAATGATTTAACTAACATTTTTATGTATTTTCTATATATATATATATATATATATATATATATACTCTGAATATATATTAAAATATTTCATATTTATATGATTTTATGATCATTTGTATTTTGTTATAACAAAAAGTTAAATCACTGATCACAAAAAATTCAATGTTGACTTTTAACAATTTTAGTTATTTATGATCGTTTAAAAAATTCAATATATAGCATATAAGAAAAACAATCTAAATTTTATTATATTTTTAATATAATTGTTTGATTTATTTTAAGAATATAAAATTATAAATGATGGAAAATAGAAAATTGTTATCAAATCTTTATTTTACAAAATCATTAGTTGTCATATATTTGTTAACCATATTAGGTAATTATGTATCTTTTATTTAAGAAAATAATGGAGAATATTCTTTTATACACTACCAATTAATTGCATAGTTAGTTTAATAGAAAATATATTATATATTGAGATTGACCAACTTATTTTTCTAAGAATTTTAAAAATCAATGTAGTGATGACACGTGGCTATCAAAATATATTGTAATGCTCCAGAATTAATATATAAGGGATTCCGTATGTTGAGTAGTTTAATTATTTATAGTATTATATTAACTTTATGGTTTTAATATTTTTTTAAAAATAAATATTTCTAATTCTGATTCGGTTTCAAACCAAATATTTGAACTATTTAAAAAAATATTATTTAATAGTAGATAAGCACCAACAAAATGTAAACGATGAATTTTTTTTTATATATGTGCACTTTTTAATTTTTTCATGATTTTGATATATGTATTATTTATTTAGGAAATATCTTATTTATTACACTTAAATGGAGAATGGTTTTTGAAAATTTAAGTAAATCTTTGTAACCATTTAAATGAACTATTGCAATTTTCTGGATGAATAGTTGCAACTGATTAAAATAAAACCTTGTAACTTTTGTTTATCAGCCATTTAATATTTTTAAGATTAACCACTACAATAAGTAAG